GGATCATTACAAACAAAGTGTCTAGACTGAAGGAAATAACAATACTACCCTCAGCCACAAAAGCAAAGTTTCTGGAGTAGAAAAATTAATTTTAAAAGGAAGTACTGCACAATTAAACAAAAAATAACACTTTCAAACCAGGAGTGGATTTTTTTTTTCAGATTTTGTCGCATAGTGTAAAGAATTGGGATCTTAAATTGTATTTTGAAAGAATACTCTGTGCTTAAAAAAGACTTCAACTCCAAGGCTGACCAGAGAGAGCTTCCTTTTCTAACCGTTCCCTGTCCTTCCTTGCAGGGCCTATTATGGAAACACCAACTTCTTTGGAGGCCCTTCCTCGACCTCGGTCAAGGCTTCGGCCAAGCTGAAGCAGCTGGAGGAAGAGAACGAAGACACCATGTTTGTCTTCCTTTCAGACGTTTGGCTGGACCAGGCAGAGGTCTTGGAGAAGCTCCGCATGATGTTTTCAGGTACCTCCACTGATCTGTAAGCTGACTATTGGAAGTTTATGATGGTTCTGTTCCAAGAAACTGCAATTTTAGAGGAAGTGAAGGGGAAAGGGGTGCTGGATAATGGAAAAGTAAGGTCAAGGAAAGGGGAAAAAAAAGAATGGGGGAGGGAAATTTTGGCTTCTCATCTTCTTATTTCTGGAATATATTTATTTATTTTATTTATTTACAGCTTTTATATTCCGCCCTTCTCACCCCGCAGGGGACTCAGGGCGGATTACAGTGTACACATATATGGCAAACATTCAATGCCAATTTTTGACATACAAACATATACAGACATACACAGAGGCTATTTAACTTTTTCTGGCCGCCAGGGGAGCTGTCGCTTTCATCGTCCATCTGCGACGCTGATGAAGCACTTCCGCATTCCCCGCATGCTTCCCCGCTGGAATGCTTTTCTGGAGTCTTCTTTATGGCCTCATAAATCAGTTAATTTAGCCTCCCCACACTTTAAGGTGGTACCTTATTTTCCTACTTGACAGATGCAACTGTCTTTCGGGTTGCAAAGGTCGACAACAGGCTACACAATTGGTTGGAAACCCACTCCAACCCGGGCTGGCTTCAAACTCATGACCTTTTTGGTCAGAGTGATCTTAATGCAGCTGACACTCAGCCTGCTCCGCCACAATATCTTCTTCTTTCCACTCTTCATGTGTTTTGTTTCCTCTTTTTCTTCAAAGGTTGTAGGGATAAGTACTCTTCTCCACATAACATTTATATCCAAATTTCCATTTTTTCTTTCTTTCTCAGAATCTTATAAAAATACCAGTGAAAAGAGTTGGAAGTGTGAAAAAGAAAAGGGAACGTTCCACCATATGCGAAAAAGCTAATAAATACTGGAGAGAGATATATAAAGCGATACAAAAAATCCTTGAAATGAAATTTTCAGTTTAAATGAGAGTATTTATTTATTTATTTACAACATTTATTTCCTACTGGGTATCCTAGACTTTGTCCGGGATAGAAACGTAGAGGCGCTATTTAGCTACTTAACATCAACAGCTAGAATAGTCTATGCTTGATATTAGAGGGAAAAAGAAATCTCTAGCTTAAAAGAATGGCTAATGAAAATGATAGAAGTTAGAAACATAGACAGCTTGACACAACAACTTAGAAACAAAACAAAGCAATAATCAATTGGAGTTTGTTAATGAAATTTATGGAGGAAGAAAATATTAATAATATTATTAATATCTTCAGCTCCCGTAATCCTCCAGCATTATTTATTTGTTTATTTAAGCATTTATATGCCGCCCTTCTCACCCTGAAGGGGAGTCAGAGCAGCTTACAAGTAAAATGTAAATACACTACAATCTATATAAATAAAAATGTCATGCTAGTTTGTGGGATTAACAGAACTCAAACACCGCTGGACGAATTGACACCAAATTTGGACACAAGACACCTATCAACCCAATGTAGTGACTACTCATAAAAACACTGAAAAACACACAGAAGGGACTTAAAAAGCCCCAAAAAGTTAAATGATGAAAAGCTAAATGATAATAAAAAAGGGAAAGAAAGAGGGAGGGAAGGAGGAGAAAAAAAGAAAGAAAGAAAGAAAGAGAAGAAAGAAAGAGGAAGGAAAGGAAGAAGAAAGAGAGAAGAAAGGAAAAGAAAGGGTAGAGAAGGAAGAAAGGTGAGAAAGAGGGAGGGAAAGAAAAAGGGAAAGGAAAGGAAAGTGAGAGAAAGAAGGAAGGAAAGGAAGGAAGGAAGGAAAGAAAAAAGGAAGGAAGGAAGGAAAGAGAGGGAAGGAGGGGGGAAAGATGTAGAGAAAGAGGAGAAGGAAGGAAAGAGAAAAAGAAAAGAGACAGCAGAAGAGAAAGAAAAAGGGGGGAAGGAAGGAAAGAGATAGAGAAGGGAGAAGGAAAGATGGGAAAGCAGGAAGGAAAGAGGGAGTGAAGGAAGGAGGAGAGAAAGAGGGAAGGGAAGAAAGAAGGAAAGGAAGAAAAGAGAGACAGCAGAAAGAAAAAGAAAAAGGGGAGGAAGGAAAGAAATAGAGAAGGAAGGAAGAAGAGAAGGAAAGATGGGAAGGAAGGAAAGAGGGAGTGAAGGAAGAAGGGGAGAAAGAGGGAAGGTTGGCCACAGCAATGCGTGGTGGGTACAGCTAGTATATTATATTATTACCATAGCACAATATTAATATTATATATTATTATATTGTACTATAACATACTTTCTACATAGTGTTAACTATGTTAGAAAGGGTTGTAGATCAGCAGCACCTCTAAGAAAATTGGGTTTATATATCCCAAATTATATACACACACACATACACACACACCAATTTTCCTAGCTTCCAACAGACCTCACAACCTCTGAGGATGCCTGCCATAGATGCAGGCGAAACGTCAGGTGAGAATGTTTCTGGAACGTGGCCATACAGCCCGGAAAACTCACAGCATCGCAGTGTTCCTATTTGTTGTTATTTTATGGGTAGAAAGAAGGGGGAGAGAAAGAACATTGGTGTCAGACAGCCCGGAAAACTCACAACAACCCAGTGATTCCAGCCATGAAAGCCTTTGAGAATACAAGGCTCTGGGGTTCTTATACTTGAATGTTTGCATGTCACTCGTAAGGCAGATAGCCGGCTTCCATGCAAACCAAATGGGAGTAACGGCCTTTGTTTTGCCATCCAGGTTACTCCGCTGTCCCTCCAACGTGTTTTTTTTTCTGCGGCAACTTCTCCTCGGCCCCATATGGGAAGAACCAGATCCAGTCACTGAAAGGTACTTGAGCTCAATCACGGTGTTTTTGTTTCTGAATTAATCCTGCATCAGCCACTATTTTCCTGTTATTTTGCATTTGTGAACCCCTGTAGCAGACCTGGGAAAACTTGGGCCCTCCGGGTGTTTTGGACTTCAACTCCCACAATTCCTAACAGCCGGTAGGCTGTTAGGAATTGTGGGAGTTGAAGTCCAAAACACCCGGAGGGCCCAAGTTGGCCCATGCCTGGTTTAGAGGCTTAAAACCTTATAACAAAGGAGACTGAGACATAATAGAAGCAGCCCTGCACCACTGTTTTTCACTGTCAAATATTTGACATTCCTGTAGATGAAACGAGGAACAATTATACTGTTTCACAGGCATTTTTTGTTTTGTTTTTACTGTTTCCCCTCCAGGTTCTTTGAAAGCCCTTGCAGATATAATCTGCGAGTTTCCCAGTATCCATGAGAGGTACGTGCTGTGTTATTATTTGCTCAACAAAATATTAATACAACAGATGTTCACATTGGTGAGTTAGAAAACACTGCACTCAGGAGAATATTAGGTGGACTTTGAACCTGCTTTGAGTCCCAAAAGTATGGGCATGGAATATATTCTTTGGGCCTGCATCTTACAAATCTGCAAGGAATTAAAATTTATCCTTTGTTTAAAATCAGAATATTTTCTACTATAGGTGCTCTGTGTTTATCCCAAAAAAGAGGAAAAAAGAAAATTAGAAACAAATTATTGTCGAAGGCTTTCATGGCTGGAATCACTGGGTTGTTGTAGGTTTTTTCAGGCTATATGGCCATGTTCTAGAGGCATTCTCTCCTGACGTTTCGCCTGCATCTATGGCAAACATCCTCAGAGGTAGTGAGGTCTGTTGGAAGTAGGAAAATGGGTTTATATATCTGTGGAATGACCAGGGTGGGACAAAGGACTCTTGTCTGCTGGAGCTAGGTGTGAATGTTTCAACTGACCACCTTGATGAGCATTTGATGGCCTGGCAGTGCCTGGGGCAATCTTTTGTTGAGAGGTGATTACATGTGCCTGATTGAAATCCACAAGCATGTGGACAATTTCAACAGAAAGGAGGAAACCATGAAAATGAACAAAATCTGGCTACCAGTATTAAAAAAAAACCTCTAAAATTAGAACAGCAAAACAACAGAGAGGAAACAATCAGCCACATGTAATCACCTCTCAACAAAAGATTGCCCAAAATACCTTTGAGGTGTTAGGTTGCTCTCTCCTCACTTTTCAAAATATAATTATTAAGAGGTAATCATAACTCATCAAAGTGAACAACATTATTAAATTTTACCATTGGCTGTGCCGGAGCTTCCGCTTTAACTCACCAGTCGTCCTAACCTTGGTTTCTGCATTCATCCCTTTATAGCAGTCGATTTGTGTTCGTTCCTGGCTCTGAAGATCCTGGCCCAGGCTCCATCTTGCCCAGGTAGGTTCGTAGCAGTTTCAGGTGAAGGCTCTGCTACTGAATGTGGTGCTGTTTGCAAATGCTCTTCCGGCGTTCCTTTTCAGGCCTCCCCTCACAGAGAGCATCACCCAGGAATTTCGGCAGCAAGTGCCATGTTCGGTTTTCACAACAAACCCTTGCAGGTAAACGTCCCGATTTTGCACCTGGGGATTGCCAAGGCCTGTGGTGTCCCATTTGTGCAGGACTGGTCTTCTGGGAGGGGTTTGCACACATTCCTGTTGATGCTGGCTGCATCTCCTGGGTGCTCATCCTGCAACTGGAGAAATACGTGCTGTGTTTGTTTCTTCCTCTCAGGGTCCAGTACTGCACACAGGAAATAATCATCTTCCGAGAAGACTTGGTAAACAAGATGTGCCGGAACTGTGTCCGGTTTCCTAGCAGCAACTTGGATATTCCTAATCATGTAAGAAACATCCTATTACATTTTATTAGCCTATTTTTTTAGAATTAGGCACAGTGCAGTTTTTCCCTTTTCTTTCCTGTATGCAAAATTGTTTGGAGGGAGCCAAGGAGGGAAGGAAATTGGAACGCCTCTCTTATCTCTAGCTACAACCCTTACATGTACATAGAATGTCAAACTTTCTACACATTTTAATTTATATTCTCTCGTTGTGTGCCTCCTCCCAAGTCATTCCCAATGTAAATGCATCCCTAGGACAAACCGATGACAGGGTTTTCTTGGTAAGGTTTTGTTTAGAAGGGATTTGCTATTGCCTTCCTCTCAGGCTGAGGAAATTTTTCAGTGACGGAGTGCAGGATTCAAACGCGAACAAATTTCTTTCTACAGTGTTCCCTCACTTATTGCAGGGTTTACATTCCAGGACCTCCCGCAATATTTATGCATTATTTTAGTAGTTATACTCTATTTTAAGCCTTTATAAACTTAAAATAAAGTGAAGGAAAGCCCTTCAAGGCTGGAGGGAGGGAGGACTGAAGAGGGAAAGTGTTTGGAGAGCGGCGGCAGCAAAAACCCGCAAAACAGTGAAAATACCGCCATATATATTTTCAATTATTATTTTTTGAAAACCGTAAAACAGTGAGTCCGCTAAAAGCGATCCGCAAAGTAGCAAGGGAACACTGTACTTTGCTTCCATGCTCGGCTTCTTTCTCATGCAGATAAACAGCTTCACTCTCACAGAGACTCCTCTCACACCGAAGTTACACAGGAGCTTCACACAGGAGCTTTACACACAGCAGCCTTCACACTGAAGCTTCTCTCACTGAAGCTTTTCACACCAGGGCTTTTCAGACCGAGGCGTACCTCACACTGAGGCCTTTCTCCCACTGAGGCCTCTCTCACTGAGGTCTGCTAACACTGAGGGCTCCCTCAGACTGAGGGCTACTAAGCTACAAGCACCCCTTCTTATATAAACAGCTTCGCTCTCACAGAGCCTCCTCTCACACCGAAGTTACACAGGAGCTTCACACAGTCGCTTTACACACAGCAGCCTTCACACTGGAGCTTCTCTCGTTGAAGCTTTTTACACCAGGGCTTATCACACCAAGGCCTACCTCACACCGAGGCCTCTCTCACTGAGGTCTGCTAACACTGAGGGCTCCCTTAGACTGAGGGCTACTAAGCTACAAGCACCCCTTCTTATATAAACAGCTTCGCTCTCACAGAGCCTCCTCTCACACTGAAGTTACACAGGAGCTTCACACAGTTGCTTTACACACAGCAGCCTTCACACTGGAGCTTCTCTCACTGAAGCTTTTCACACCAGGGCTTTTCGGACTGAGGCCTTTCTCCCACTGAGGCCTCTCTCACTGAGGTCTGCTAACACTGAGGGCTCCCTCAGACTGAGGGCTACTAAGCTACAAGCACCCCTTCTTATATAAACAGCTTCGCTCTCACAGAGCCTCCTCTCACACCGAAGTTACACAGGAGCTTCACACAGTTGCTTTACACACAGCAGCCTTCACACTGGAGCTTCTCTCACTGAAGCTTTTCACACCAGGGTACCTCACACTGAGGTCTTTCTCCCACTGAGGCCTCTCTCACTGAGGGCTCCCTCAGACTGGGGGCTACTAAGCTACAAGCACCCCTTCTTATATAAACAGCTTTGCTTTCACAGAGCCTCCTCTCACACTGAAGTTACACAGGAGCTTCACACAGTTGCTTTACATACAGCAGCCTTCACACTGGAGCTTCTCTCACTGAAGCTTTTCACACCAGGGCTTTTCGGACTGAGGCCTTTCTCCCACTGAGGCCTCTCTCACTGAGGTCTGCTAACACTGAGGGCTCCCTCAGACTGAGGGCTACTAAGCTACAAGCACCCCTTATATAAACAGCTTCGCTCTCACAGAGCCTCCTCTCACACCAAAGTTACACGGGAGCTTCACAGAGTCACTTTACACACAGCAGCCTTCACACTGGAGCTTCCCTCACTGAAGCTTTTTACACCAGGGCTTCTCACACTGAGGCCTACCTCATACTGAGGCCTTTCTCCCACTGAGGTCTCTCTCCCACTGAGGCCTCTCACACTGAGGGCTCCCTCAGACTGAGGGCTACTAAGCTACAAGCACCCCTTCTTATATAAAACTACGGCTTTTTCTGGGTCATTGTATTCATTTAACCCTTTCAGTGCTTGACTCACATTTTTATAATTAAAATACCTAGTTAATGTTTTATATTTTCGCCTAAGGGCTGAGAACAGCGGTATACAAATAAAGTAAAGTAAATAAATATTTCTGACAGTGATGTATATACATTTTAAGGGGAGAAAAAATGTACTTGGGCCCTCCCTCCAGGTGTTTTGGACTTCCTAAGAGCCTCATCCAGAACACATGGGGGGAGGACCAAGGTTGGCCCATGCCTGGCTTAGGCAAACACGCAAGAGTAGGACAGATGGAAGCCAAATGCGACTGTCCTTTGCCTTGCAGTTTGTCAAGACGGTGTTGTCCCAGGGCCACCTGAGCCCCTTGCCTCTGAGCGTCAGCCCCGTCTTCTGGGCCTACGACTACACCTTACGGACCTATCCTCTGCCGGATGTGATCGTCTTCGCCGACAAATACGACCCGTTCACAGTGACAAACACCGAGTGCCTTTGTATAAATCCCGTAAGGAGACACCTTTGATTGAATTCACACAATTTTTGTTCCTGGGTTAATGTCATTTCCTAGTTATTCTGTCATACAAATATGGAAAAGGTATTAAAGCTCAAAAACTTTAGGTTCTTGTGGGTTTTTTCGGGCTATAGAGCCATGTTCTAGAGGCATTTCTCCTGACGTTTCGCCTGCATCTATGGCAAGCATCCTCAGACCTTCTGAACCCTCTGAGGATGCTTGCCATAGATGCAGGCGAAACGTCAGGAGAAATGCCTCTAGAACATGGCTCTATAGCCCGAAAAAACCCACAAGAACCTAGTGATTCCAGCCATGAAAGCCTTCGACAATGCACAAACTTTGTTCTTGCAGGAGGGACTTCATCCTGCTTTAGTTCATTTTGCAATAGTTTTTCAATGAATATCTTATCATAGAGTCTCAACCAATTCAACATAGTTTGTGCCACAAAAACAGTGACGTTTCTGGAAAAGAACAACTACTTTCAAAGTAAGGACCACAAAATTAAGCAGGAAATAACACTTTCAAACCAGGAACAGAACATTTTTTCTTCAAATTCTGCAACATAGTGCTATCTTCTGTTACTGCTGTGAGGATCCCATGAGTGACAGAAACCAGTAGCCAACCCTTCAGGTCCTTTCCTAAACTTCTTCCCTTTGTCTTGACTGAAATTAACCCTTCACTCCTCTCCAGACCTTTAATTTTCTTGGGCTTGCTTCCTGTCAGAGAGGTGTGCAAACAGAAATCCAATACATTTATTTATTTACTTACTTACGATATTTATATGCCGCCCTACTCACCCGGAAGGGGACTCAGAGCGGCTTACAAGTATATGAAACATAAATGCATTTCATGAACCAAATGTTTATTTGGCTACTAGCAGTCCCCTGCCACGCGTTGCTGTGGCCCACATGGGGGTTCTGTGTGGGAGGTTTGGCCCAATTCTATTGTTGGTGGGGTTCAGAATGCTCTGTGATTGTAGGTGAACTATAAATCCCAGCAACTACAACTCCCAAATGTCAAGGTCTATTTCCCCCAAACTCCATCTGTGTTTATATTTGGGCATATTGAGTATTCATGCCAAGTTTGGTCCAGATCCATCATTGTTTGAGTCCACAGTGCTCTCTGGATGTAGGTGAACTACAACTCCAAAACTCAAGGTCAATGCCCACCAAACCCTTCCAGTATTTTCTCTTAGTCATGGGAGTTATATGTGCCAAGTTTGGTTCAATCCCATCATTGGTGGAGTTCAGAATGCTCTTTGATTGTAGGTGAACTATAAATCCCAGCAGCTACAACTCCCAAATGACAAAATCATAATTTTTTGAGTGATGGTCACTCCTTGTGTTGTGAGACGTTTTGTTGCCAAATTTGGTGTGATTTCGTTCATTGGTTCTTTTGTTTTTAAGGTACTCATTATGCACAGAGCATTTATATATATATAGGTATTGTACTATATTATTATACTGTAATATTATTACTAATATTACATGTAATATAAAATATGTAATTATAATATTTTTATAAATGCATGCCTTTTGTATGTATTTTTTAAAAACTTGTGCATGCTGGTATTCCCTGTGTTCCTTGGGAATGACTCAGAATACCAGAGTCGGAAGAGACCGCAAGAGCCATCTGCTCCACATTCTTCTATCATGCAGAAATATATAATACAGGCCCTCTCAACAGATGACCATCCAGCCTCTGCTTAAAATCCTCCAGGGAAAGAGACTCCATTGGACTCTTGGGCAGCAGAAGATTCCACTTGTCAAGCGCCTTTCACTGTCACAAAGTTCTTCCTAATGCTCACGTGGAATCTCTTTTCCTGCAATTTGAACCCATCCTCCATTTCTCTGGATTATATTTCAGTGTTGTTGTTGTTCATTCGTTCAGTCGTCTCCGACTCTTCGTGACCTCATGGACCAGCCCACGCCAGAGCTCCCTGTCGGCCGTTACCACCCCCAGCTCCCTCAAGGTCAGTCCAGTCACTTCAAAGATGCCATCCATCCATCTTGCCCTTGGTCGGCCCCTCTTCCTTTTGCCTTCCACTTTCCCCAGCATAATTGTCTTCTCTAGGCTTTCCTGTCTCCTCATGATGTGGCCAAAGTACTTCAACTTTGTCTCTAGTATCCTTCCCTCCAATGAGCAGTCGGGCTTTATTTCCTGGAGGATGGACTGGTTGGATCTTCTCGCAGTCCAAGGCACTCTCAGAACTTTCCTCCAACACCACAGCTCAAAAGCATCGATCTTCCTTCGCTCAGCCTTCCCTAAGGTCCAGCTCTCACATCCGTAGGTTACTACAGGGAAGACCGTGGCTTTGACTAGGCGGATCTTTGTTGCCAGTGTGATGTCTCTACTCTTTACTATTTTATCGAGATTGGACATTGCTCTCCTCCCAAGAAGTTAGCGTCTTCTGATTTCCTGGCCACAGTCTGCATCTGCAGTAATCTTTGCACCTAGAAATACAAAGTCTGTCACGGCCTCCACGGTTTCTCCCTCTATTTTCCAGTTGTCAATCAGTCTTGTTGCCATAATCTTGGTTTTTTTGATGTTTAGCTGCAACCCGGCTTTCGCGCTTTAGTACCATACATTTCCTCTGTTTGCACTCATTAGCTGCCCCTCGTGATAATTTCACAGCTATGGAGAACTGGGGATGGTGTGTGTTTCTGTTTCACCTCCATGGGCTGTTGCATTTCAAAGAGAGGCCTCTCAGTGTTGACATTAATTCACATCCAGTCACATTTATTTATTTATTTATTTATTTTGGTTACTTCTACCCCGCCCTTCTCACCCCGGCCGGGGGGGACTCAGGGCGGCTTACAAAGGCACAATTCGATGCCAGCATCACATAACAGTGGTAAACAAATAGCAACAATTAACAAATTAAACAACAGTTCCTGCATTACAACAATAAAACCAATACAAACCAATTACTCCTCATTGATGGTCAGCGTTCGCTATCTCATAGTCCAAATTCCAATTCCACTTTGTCAGTCCTGTCAGTCCTAGTTGTCTGATTGTCCTTATCTAGTTGTCAGATTGCCCGAAGGCCTGGTCCCACAACCATGTTTTTAATTTCCTTCTGAAGGAGAGGAGGGAAGTCGATGACCTGATTTCCCCCGGGAGTGAGTTCCACGGGTGAGGGGCCACCACTGAGAAGGCCCTGCTCCTCGTCCCCACCAACCTCACTTGTGATAGTGGTGGGGTCGTGAGCAGGGCCTCCCCACATAAGCTGCTCCCAGCAAGATATTACAAATAACCATGCAATAATACACTTTTTTGTACACAGTTTTGCTTCGTGGCACACAGGAAATAAAAGCAAGACATTACCAGGCTCTAGTAGATTATTTATTCATTTATTTACAACAGAGCGGCTTACAAGATATATATATACATACAATATATTATATTATTACCATAGTACACTATTAGTATTAAATATTACTATATTGTACTATACCATTATATTGTAGTATTATTAATAATATTACATGTAATATAAAATATATAATTATAATATATTATTATTATTATGTTTTGTGTTCATATGTTTTGGGCTTTGTTGTGCCTCGCCTTGAGCCATCAGAAGAGGCAGGTAATACATAAAATACATAAAGATTACTGTAACAGTCCTGACTGCAGGTTCTATAGGTGTCCCTGTCCCCCCGGCGTTTGTTCATATAGCTAGTTAACACCATTTAAGCAATGTCAACTTTGCATTTAACTGCACTATTCTTGAAAACAGCACTTCCAGGTGATACTCAGAGGTGTCTGATGTAAATAAATACTTGAAAATAGTTATGTGATGAATGACATCTGCTGGAGAAAATGATACAGATTTTGAAAGTGGAATTATTTATTTCTTTTGTTTCTCCATTCACACTAGGGATCTTTTCCAAAGAGCGGCTTTTCGTTTAAAGTATACTACCCATCAAACAAAACAGTTGAAGACAGGTATGATCTTGTTTTTTTTGCTTTCAAATAATAATTAATAATAATTAATCTTTATTTATATTCCGAATTTCTCCCCAACGGAGCCCAAAGCAGCTAACAACATAATACAAATCAAACCAAAGCATATTTAACATAAAATACAAGAGAAAAATCATACAAGGCATAATAACGTCCAGAAATAAGATATAAATTAAGATTAAGCATTAAAAACATTTTAAACCCATTACAGTTATTGGAGCCCCCAGTGGTGCAGTGGGTTAAACTGCTGAGCTGCTGAACTTGCTGACCAAAAGGTAACAAGTTCAAATCCAGGGAGTGGGGTGAGCTCCTGCTGTTAGCCCCAGCTCCTGCCAACCTAGCAGTTCTAAAACATGCAAATGTGAGTAGATCAATAGAGACTGCTCTGGAGGGAAGATAACAGTGCGCCATGCAGTCATGCTGGCCACACGACCTTGGAGGTGTCTACGGACAACGCCAGCTCTTCAGCCTAGAAATGGAGATGAGAACCAAAGTCCCAGAGTCAGACACGACTGGAGTTAATGTCAGGGGAAAACCTTTACGTTTTACCTAGAATTATTGTGAAGACTCATCACGAATGCCTGAGTGTTTCCAAGCTTCTCCTTTTAAATACAAAAGGCCATTTATTTATTAACCTTTTGGTCAGCAAGTTAAGCCATAATATTATTATTTATTTATTTATTGTGTCATCAGCAACCAGACATTTGCATTACATTTTTAACAAGAACAAACAAACAGACAAAACACAGAATTTGCAAGCTTGATAGTTGTTTAAATGTCCTTTGACCATTATCTGGCCACTTGGAGTGCCTCTGACGTTGCCGCAAGAAGGTCCTCCATTGTGCATGTGGCAGGGCTCAGGTTGCATTGCAGCAGGTGGTCTGTGGTTTGCTCTTCTCCACAATCGCACGTCGTGGATTCCACTTTGTGGCCCCATTTCTGAAGATTGGCTCTGCATCTCGTGGTGCCAGAGCGCAGTCTATTCAGCACCTTCCAAGTTGCCCAGTCTTCTGTGTTCCCAGGAGTCTCTCATTTGGTATCAGCCATTGATTGAGGTTCTGGGTTTGAGCCTGCCACTTTTGGACTCTCGCTTGCTGAGGTGTTCCAGCGAGTGTCTCTGTAGATCTAAGAAAACTATGTCTTGATTTAAGTCGTTGACGTGCTGGCTGATACCCAAACAGGGGATGAGCTGGAGATGTCTCTGCCTTGGTCCTTTCACTATTGGCTGCTACTTCCCGGCGGATGTCAGGTGGTGCAATACCGGATAAGCAGTGTAATTTCCCAGATAAGTGATACCTATTGATCTACACACATTTGCACATTTTTAAACTGCTAGATTGGCAGAAGCTGAGGCTAACAGCAGGAGCTTACCTCGCTCCCTGGATTCAAATCACCAAGTCAGCAAGTTCAGCCATAATAATATTACAGTATATTATTAATATACTATTAATAATAATAATCTCCTTTGAAGTGGTTAGTCTTATTCCCTAACTTTCAGTTAAGCACCAAGGAGATGGGGATAATAACTTGGTTTCGAGGAAACATGTATGTAGTTCCAGCAACTTTAAAATTACTTTTAATTATTTTTCAGCAAACTTCAGGGTCTTTGAAGCCAAGGAGGAGCAAATCAATGTCCTGGTTTTGATACTATTTGAGCCCTGCTTCTGTGGATGACAAATTACTACAACATGTAGATTCTTTGAAGGGTGCAAATCCTCAAATAAAAGGTATGAAATGAGGATGCAGTATATTTGGATCCTGGGAATTGAAGATCCCACAGAAGACCAAGATCTCAATGGACTTCCATTTAAACCGAAAAGGAGAAGCCCTGGAAGAATGGGATTTCAGGCATTTTTCTTCCCATCTGCCCTCACGCATCATTGAAATGAGTAGCATCGCAAGCTGCACAAATTTGATTTGAAACCTGGGAGAGAAATGGGAGTAGATGGAAGGAATGGAAGAGATAAGAAAGTGGATTGAGACTGAATTCCTTGCTGCTGCAGAGGCTCATTTGTTTCCTCTCTAGTCTCATATGCAGAAGTCTGTGGTCCATTATGGTTGGCTACTACTGTGATTGGCCACCCATACACCATCCAAACTGCCATGTTATAGCAGTTTCACACCACTTTTAACTGCCGTGGCTCTGTCTCGAGATTTGAAGCTTGTGACATCAGAGCTCTCCCACACAAAAGGGTAAATGTTTCACAAAACTACAACTCCCAGCATTCCACAGCACTGGACTACAACAGTGAATGTGGTGCCATAACTATCAGTTAAATCAGAGTAACTTCATATTCTTAATTTATATATTTGATATTTTTTTTTCAGTGTATGTACAATGATTTATGTAACAATTCCAATAAAGTGTTTAGTTTAAGGTTTTGGAATGGTGGCTTTTTAACATTTCAAAGAGCAGCTGGCTCCCAAAAGTGTTTAATACGTCACCCGATCTGTCTCTTCAGCAGTGGAAACAAATTCTCTAAAAACAAGCACATCTGGGGAAGCTGCATATTTAAGAAAGCATGTTGGTTCCCGGTTCTAATTAACTCCAACTCACCTGGCTCATCTCTCTATTATATATTAAAAGTCAAAGTGTGTTGTCCTACAAATAAGACTCCTCTTCTGTAACTTGATGGATCTGGACCAGAAAGGCCCTTTATGATCCATCTTCAAAGAATTGGGGTCTCTGAACTAAAAAAAAACCCAACCTTTTAGGGTCCAGAACTGAGAGGAATAAAAGGAACAAGGTAGATTGGCTGTGGCTGGGTG